TAACTTATATCAGTTGTATGAAAAAGTGTCTCTGGTGGGATTCTTAATTTTCCGCACACGCCAGTCAGTGGCGTATAATAGAAAAGTTGTAAATTGGTGATGTGAAGAAAAAACGTACATATTCTTATTGTTAATTCTCTGTCATTATTTCTCACGATGTATATTTTGGAAAAATATTGGGTTTCCCCGGCCTGCCACCATGTGAATTGTTTTCAAGCTTTACGTCATGTATATCTTTGACAATGAAAAGGACAATGAAAAGTTAGGTATAACCGTATGAGGAAATGAACAGCTACATATTGTTGTATGTTTTGTATTATGTATTTACGAGTGCATTGATGCGATGTGTATTTTAAAAGCACCATATACACACACCTGTGTAAACATTAGGTTTATATCATATAAATATTTTATAAAGGATATCTTGTTTATGTACAAAGCCTGAGACGAAAGGCTCTTACCGTTATCCACATAAACAATTTTGTTGACTAATAATATACATCGAGTAAGTGCCTATAAGGTAATTGTAGGACATAATAACAAGGGGCTTATCTCTCTATCTCTGTCTGCACTTGACAAACCTTTCGTGAATGTCAATCAAACTTTAACAAACGACCAATCAGAACAGTGACAGGAATACGCGCGCACAAACACAAATGTCCCCAAAACGCAAGTGTTTGCGTATGTTTTTACACGATTTTTTTAAGGACGTTAGCAACAACTTCCAATGGGCGCGACCTAGCGAAAAGTTCTATTGACAAGAACATGAGGTGGACATAAACGTTTTTAAAGTACGGAAATGTTGATAAAGCCATCAACAATTGCATACAACCATTGGTTTTTTTTGGGGTTTTTTTTGTTGTTGATAATTTACCGATATTACAAAAAAAGATTTTACATGTCAAAGCCTACTCTGTTTAGCTATAATACATGAGGCATAATCAATATCCTGACAAATATTTGTTTTTGTTTCAATTATTGTTTCATTTTAATTCAGAATTAAATTAGTATTGAAGTTTTCATTTAAATACTGTTCATTTATTTAGCTCACAAGTTACAACCGCTTTACTTTATGATTTTTTATTTGTTTTAATATATTTTTAATTCGATTTTAATGAACAAAGGGTTACTATTAGGGATGTTTCACATTCCATATTCTACCAGTGCCGAACATAAAGAGAAAACAAGAATATTATACAGTATATCGTAATAAGTAAAGGGCTTAAAGAGATCTCGAGAACCACAACGTAATTTAAAACTAAACCATCTAGTCTGTTATACCTTAAAAAGAACATTCGAAGTACTTGACCTAAAATGTACGTAAAAATACTAGTACTAACGGAATCAGTATACCAGGGAGTTGTTATAGTTAAACTATAACCAACCGTTTTCCTATCAAGTGTGGAAGAAACCTCTAAAAATGACTGCTGATGTTATCTTAACAATCTGATTAAGTGCATCGATACCCACCGATTGGAAAAATAAGTGAGACTCTCATATCCAAAGAATAACATACTACAGTATTAATACATCATATTTTATACGTATTGTACTAAAGACCTGCAGTAGAACCACTGGGCTATAAAAAAAAAAAACTACAGTAGGACTACTGAATTCCCTACAGAGTAAAAATTATATATATAGACAACACCGCTCAGAAAGACTTTGGAGAAAATATGTTTTGCTATGTAAAACGTATACAAACACGTGCATCTAAGAATGAATTTGCTTTATTGTATTTTATATCGTATGCATTGTATATGATGATGCCAAATAAAAAAAAGGAAAGGAAATAAAAAAATTCAGACATAGACCAAAACAAAATTTTTTGGAACAAAAGACCAATATGAGGTATAAAAATAAAAGACTTTGGACTGAATAATAAGCCGAAGTCAGACCCATCGAGCTAGCCTGTGTTTCAAGAATTCTCAAAAACTGAATAAGATGAGTTAGAAAGACCACAAAAATGTCCCAACTACCTGGTGAACGAAGAAAGGGATTTTAGAGTACCCTGAAGATGTACTAAATAAGAATATAGTTAGAGAATCTACCATCATGCAGACTAAAACCTCATAGAAACCAAGATTCTTTGTTATCCAAAATCAGTGTCACCCATGACCAAATCCTTGAAGCAATGACTAGCCCTAGAATGCATCTATGCAATCAATGTCACTTGACCTGGTTTAACATCTAGAACTGCTACATTTTTCACTTAAAAATGGAAGGTACAGATGGGGTCTTTACTAAACACTAAAGTAGGTTACGGTACACACTAACAGCAAACAACACTAATGCATACAGGAGCCAGGCTTTACTAATTCCAAAAACTAAAAAAAAAAATATACTGAAGTAATGAAGATTGATTCAAATCAAATTCCTAATTTGTCTATAACAATTAAAAAAAAAACCATCATAATACAACAAAATAAAGATAGGATTATGGAGGAAATGGTGCTCGCTAATATGTGGGTTTTTTTGTGTAATAATGAAGTTAAAGAAACGCTAAGAACAATTCCTTAACTACAGACAAATTCCATATCATCAAAATTTATAGAAACATTTTGACTTAAATCAGCACTGTCATTGTCATCACAAAAAGTGTTAGAAAAATGCCTATTAAATAAATTTGCCAGATCACTTACGTTAGTAACAGTATCATTATTAATTTTAAAACTAATAACCTCCGAGTCCTGTCTAATTGATCTTATATAGGACCAGAATTGTTTTAAGTTTCTAGAAGCATTATTAGAGATATTCAACACATAATGAATTCCTTAACTACAGCTCTAACTAAACTAAATTAATAAAAGATATATGGATTGAGCAACAAATTAAAAAAGTGTGACAACTGTAAAGCTAATCACATGAAACAGCATAAGTACATTTACACACCATGCATTTGTATATGCTCATTACGCACATTAGACCCATGCATTCATGCACACTACAAATAAATGCACGTGTACATACGACCAATACACCACATGCATGCATGGTATCCACTTGATATCATATATTTAGCAGTCACCAAAATGTTTCATTATTCAACTGATAGTACAATCAGTGGAGAACGTATCTACTGCATACGCCAGAACAAATGCAAAAAATACCTCGTAGCTGAATTTAAAAATGGAGGGTGGATCGTGTTCTATTTTTCAGTGGAAATCAGAAGCTTCTACAATACATCGCTGGCTACATACGCAGAACGATTGCTGACCTGACTCTATTAAAAACTATTTTTGTTTTAAAAAATTCTACAGTGCCTGGAATAATGTCCAAATAGTTAAGTTTCCAAAGCCGATATTAATGGTACAAAGTAAGACAAATAGGTCGGTAAGCCGTATTTACAATACATTGATTTCCTTTCCACGTATCTTTCACTTTGACCAAAAATAAATCCAGTGCGAACAACCGGAGTAATATTCTTTTTGGTCAAATTGTCTATCAACGACAAACCTTCCTTAAAAATTGTTAAAAACATCCCTCGGTGGGAATCGAACCCGCCATCATCCGCTATCTAGGCTTGGGTCATGGTCATAACACTTGACCACAAGAGCCTAATTTATAGTAGGCTAACATATTATCTAAACCAAGGAAACAACTGACGTCACACATTCTGAGGCGGAAATAAACTTACGCGAACTCTGAATGTCGCAGCCTGTATTGTGTATTTGTATAAATCTATTGTGTAATCAAGTAGTTGTAGAGACAGTGCTCGACAACAATAATGTAAAGATCGTACCGGACATAGCCTGTCAACACGGGTTCAATTCCCACCTAGGAAACTTTTTCGAACAGTTGATAAGGAACTTTTTTTTGTTGTTTAAAATGTTTATTTGAAGAACAATATGTATATTTTTTTAGTTTGAAAAAAAAACCAATACAATGATGTCAAGTTGCACTAAGCTTACAAAGAATCAGTGTCTACTTTGTGAGTACTGAAAATTCCAAGACAATAAGAAAATACCGTTAAATTTGCCATAAAAGCAAAATACAATTAAACTTTTGTTTGAAATTTTGGTATTCAAGATTTCTAAGTCACTTTTGTAAACGTCTACTACAGTAGGCCTATATAAAGCATACCTCCATGTATAAACAAGGAAACGAGTTAAACACGTTCGTCATCGACTGTCTGGAAGATTTTGTCAATTATGTCAAAGCTTTCTGTAACTGTACTCATCCTCTCGTTGGCTTATATTATTGCCGCGACTCCTTTACCAGGACGGTAAAATAATGTTGATTTAATTAGTATTATATGAATAATATTATAATATAGCTAAATTGACATAGACTAAGCCTATCTTTAAAGCTAGAATATTGTTTGTGGGTCTAGTATTTGTTTCAGCGCAGGACAAATATTTTCATTTATAGTAATGAGGACAGTATCTATTTTGTTATTCAAGTAAGGTTTGTATTCAGATCACGATATTGCTAGATATATTGCTAAGAATAGAGATATAGCCACATTATATTTAAATCAAGACTTTGAGATCAGAAGGTGAAAATTTTAATTACAAAACTATAGCACTTCCATTATTAAGGCGTACTAACTTTAAAAAAAATAGTGATTTAATTTATTTGATTTGTTTATTATGTACCTACTTTTTAAAAATTTCAGTCGAAATGTCTGCAGTAGGCAAACCTCATGTGTGAGGACACGTCAAGCTTCGACCCAAGATTCTTTCTCTATTAAAGGTTATCGCAGCTGTGGTTGGTGGGGTTGGGGACGTTGTACTACTTACAGGTAGGCATGATGCACTGTAGTTTCTACNNNGTGTCAGCACATATATGTATATGTGTATATACAATATTCATATTATTTTAAATTTCCTTATTTCAGGTATATTCAATATTCAAATTAGTTTTGCTGCATAGCACCTTAATCGTAATATAAGCAAATAATAATAATAATATAATAATAAATATAATAAGAATAAGAATAATAAATAATAATAACAGTTAATAATATTAACAATAATAACAATAACATAATAATATAATAATAGTAAAAATAACAATAATAATAATAACAAAAACAACAACAATAATAATAATAATAATAATAGTAATGATAATAATAATAATAATAATAATAATAATAATAATAATAATAATAATAATAAAAACAACTACAGTAAAAAAATGAAGTAAAGTTTTAGCTATTGCGCTCTAAAACCGACCGAAGTTTATTACATTTTTCAGTCCTATATAGGCTGATGGTGAAGATTATTTCACGGTAATCATAAATTGAATCTAGATTTATCTACAATAGTTTTTCTAGGGATGGATTCACAAGCTTGTGAGCTACAGCGATTTTAATTGCTTTTGTTAATCCTTGAATCCTTAGACTTACGCAGTTTTTCTGTAACGTCCGTTTTGGTTATTTTGATTTATTTTGTATCAAAACCAAGGCAAAATAAAGAATTAATGAAAAAGCTTGAAAAATTAGAAATTGCGTCAACATGAAAGCATAAAAACCAGAGGATCCACTAATTAGTCTTAAATAAACAAAAATACAGTAACTCTGAAAACAGACAGAGACACTTTGAGATTCAACGTTTCGATCTATTTGATCATTACGGTATCAAGTATACAAAACAGCCTAATAACCCGTTTATTTATATTAAAGATATGTAGAATGACGTATTTTTTATGCAAATCTTCGACGAAGGCAAAGTTTGAAGAAGATTCAAATACATAAAATTTCGTTAAAAGAAAATAATAACGTTTAGTGACAAGAGATTTTAGAAATCGCATAATAAAGATTAATGATTTAAATTATGATTCGGTGCTGGATAGTCTTGGTAGCTTGACTTTTGACAAAAGCCCTATACTGTATTGGTAAAGCCGGGCACTCACTGCGTCGTACGATGGTGGTACGACCGTTGCACGACGAATCCAACTTCACTTTCTGCATGCGCTAGACCACGCGACGCCGTCTGCAAGTTGTCGGTGGCAGTCTGAACGGATTGTCATTAAAAACGACCCGTTGCGCGCACCGTCGCGCTGCGCTCTCCATAGCGTCACGTCTGTCGACGACCGTCGGTGTCAGTGAGTGCCCTGCTTAACACAAATAAAATGGTCATGTGACAGTATTAGTTTTTTACTTCAGTCTACTACTGCGTGCGTGCCGCGCGCACCCATGTTGTATTTGTATTTTGTATTTTTATTTCTTTAAAAAATCCAACAGTGTAAACACCAATTACAGGTTGAACGTGAACGCTGGATTTTATAATTATGATGACCTTATAGAAGAAATTTCTAAAGAGCAGGGCTTAGCGAAACTGCCGGTACATCTAAAATATTTTCAGGCATATTAAATGCGAAATAATTGAAAATAGGTGGATTTTGAGGATTAATGGCATATTTATTTTTTTTAAATTTATAAATTATATTCTATTGTACGATTCTAATTAGAAATACATTGTTTTGTTGTAGACTTGAGTATAGAGTACGATATTACGTACAGTATTACCGTGCCTATTCAACAACCTACTACTGCTGCAATGGATGGCTGGAAGATGCATATGGACGCTGTACAATTCGTGAGTTTTATAACTGCATGATAGATATAAGTAAAACTGCAATGGTGAACTATATGCCAATTTTAAAATGACGTCACGAAATAATAAGATGTATATTATAATTTTATTTTTTATCTTAATATATATTTATTAGTACAATTCAATTCAATTCAATTTATTCATCATCAAAGAAAAGTTAAAATAGCAAAAAAAAAACATAATAGGCCTATAATAAAAAGATGAAATGGACAACCATAAAAAGCTTAAAGAGCTTGTATATTATATTACTATTATATTAGTGTATATCTTTAGTTCATAGCAACTAAATATTTAAATAGGAAGATCACAGCCTTATTTTTAGTTATATAGGCCTATATATATATTATATATATATATATATATTTGCTTACTTCTCGTCTTTGAAATAATTTTATTCATTATATATAGGCCTATATATATATATATATATATATATATATATATATATAAAACATAAAATATATATTATCTTATTGAAAAAAGTATATTTCGTCCTGTCCTCAGCAGGACTACTTCAGCGTTAATGAAATACACAGAACTATTGGCATAATAGACATAGCAAGCACGAGGGGGACTAGTTAGGGGAGGAGCATAAACACCACTTAAAGCGAATAAATAGGTCCTATACATAGTATATTGCTATAAACATAGAGGCTATAGTTAAATTGATTTGAAATCGGTACCAGGATTAAAAAGCGTAAATCACTGATAGAATGGTTCAGTGAATCAAAGTGGTCAGCAACAGGGAAGCCATTTTGATGGTCTCTGATTTTTTATGCTTGTTAAGTCTAAATCTAAGTTTACATCCTGTCCTACCTAAATAATTGCCGTTATTACATTTAGTACAAACTAATAGATAATCTACATTGGATGTATTACAATCTAGAGTAGGTGGGTTTTATTGTCTGCTTGGTCCCTGGTACATTGAATTTAGCACCAGGTGTTTATGCGGCATAAGTTGGCATCTGGGTCTGTTGCAAGGTCTATTACCATACTATTGAGAGGTATCCGTTCACTATGTTGCTTGTCCTTGTATACGAGAAGGCCCTCTCTTCGTGATTTGGTTAAAGCATTAATGTTTGATGGCTTTCTTATTAACGCGTAGGAAATGTGACGTTAAAAATTGAAAGCTGATGTTCGTATTCGGTGTGATCTGAACTATGGTCGATGCGCTCAGAGTATATGGAAGTAGATAATGACACCATTATTCAGTGCTATGCAGGGGCGGCGCCAGGAATTACCCCCCGGTCGGGGAAGCCTAGCACTCCCGACCCCCATGGTCGGGGAAAAATTGTGTTGATTATGGTATTCTTTATTTAAAAACGATAATTTAATAGAAACCATGCAAGATAAGAGGCCAATGTGGGGTGCACATAACCACCTGTCAGAGTTATCAGCCCCTCTATTGGGGAAGATCTTAGTAGGCCTACGCTACCGCCGCAACCCATACGATCGCGATAGTATACAGCACCTCACACATACGGTAGCACTCAGTGCTCGCACTAAACGTTTTTAATCCCTAAAATTTGACAGCTTATATAGTAAGGCATACTTAAATTGTACTTTCATTTTTCTTCGACGACCTTGCTGGAAATTTCCCGACAGGGGGATCCTAGCGGGATCCAGAGGTCCCAGACGGGGTCCAGAGGTCCCCGACGGGGTCTCCCCCCCCGGACCCCCGCTAGTGCCTCCCCTTGTGCTATGGATATGTCGATAAATGCAATTTGCATGTGTTCCAGCGTGAATTTGATGCTAGGGTGGTTGTTGGCGTGCGTTTAAAATTATTTGAGAGCTTCAAGTCCATGCTTCCAAATGAAAAACATGTCATAATATACCTGGAGTAAATGCCAGTTTTAAGTTATGGTTGGATATGATCTTTTGTTCCAAATCTGCCATGAAGATGTTAGCATAGCTGGGTGCCATCTTAGGTCCCATAGCTGTTCTTTTAGTTTGTATGAAGCGCTGAATGTGAAGTGTGAAGTGAAGTTATGTGAAATAAAGTTGATGATAGAGCAAATATCCATTGTGTTCTGCGTTGAGTTGTGCGTCGAGAAATTGAGCACAGGCGGCTATACCGTTCTCATGAGGTATGTTAGTATATAATGACGCTGTTTTTGTGTAGGAAGTGTGTCGAATCCTGTATGTGACTGGGAATAGGCATATTAATAAGTAGTGGGTTGAGGATGGTATCCACAAAACCTGATAGGTGTTCGGTCAAAATTCATAATTCCAATAACTGATATGATCGGAATAGTGTATCGGTAAGTATCGGTAAACAGCAGAAGACGCTATGTTTGGGTATCTGTGGGATCATGAGTGTAATTTGTAGTTTTATTTCGTCATTGTATAATGAAATCAGAAGAATTGCTTCCTTTTTGAAAAAATCCGTGAAACATATATATCTAATACTATTCAGAGAAACTAATGAATGTATACATGTGCTGAAATTACACTGTCTTGCTGAAGATCGTGACGAATGGCGAGATTTGGTTAAAACGCGCAATGTCGAAAGACGAAAAATATAGGCCTGTGTATATGTCACATGTGCAGTGCCAACTTTGCAGCATACTTTGCTAAACTAATTAATAGAAAGTAATATAAATTAAAGGTTTGGGGATATATGCTATAGGTATATAGTATTTTTTTCCTCTGTCTGTTATCGGTAGGAGTACTAAACTATATAGGCCTACATTTATTTTTTTTATAAGGAATGATAATTAGGATATACAAAAATTGCTATATTTACATTAGGTACTGTAATCATAATAAATCACATTAGACAAATAATATCCACAAAATGTATCTCATAAATTACAAATTTAAATTAAAAATTTAATAAATATAATTATAAAAACACAAATATATCATAAGTGGAGCAGCCGTTAAAAAGATATGTAAATATAATAATTGAAATACCAATGATAAGAAAAAGTAGATATTAAGAGAAAAGTACAGTGGAAATCAAATGTCATTCATTACTTTAGCCTGTTTTGTTATTCACAGATCTGTTAATAATTTTGCATTACAGGTGTAGGCCAGGCAGAGCCCCGAGGGGAGCCAGTCCAGTAAGAAAGAGGGAGCTTGAAGGTGCGAGCTGAGTGAGAGTCTCGGGAAGAGCACCTGTATGAGTGCAAGGGGTGAATTCCCCTTACACCTCTAAGAATTTCATTAATTTGAGTTTGTATTTGATTGACTTTTACTACTTAGCATAGTAATTTTCTGATAAGTTTTACACAAAAAAATTACAAAAAAACAGAAGGGGAGTACGCCCATTGTGCCCCCTCTAAATCCGCCACTGGGCCCGATGATGTAACAACAAAGCTGTCACTATAACGATCGAGTCAAGAACTAATAACTGCAATAAAAATGTATTAATCAATTACAGATAGATATACATTGCATAATGTCAGTTATGAATAGTATTTTGTCAATAAAGTTAAGCAATGGTTTATTATCAAATAGTATTCTATGACTATTTTATATTAGCATTGTACATATTTTCAAATAACTTCTTGTATTATTATAATTTGACTGGCTTATTGTTCATAATTATCGGGTCAAGAACCAAAAAAAAATATACTAATCAAATAGATTAAAATCAATTACTGTTTATTACATAATGGCAGTTGTGAAAAGTATTTGGTAAATATAGTTTAGTCATAGCTTAATATCAAATAGTATTCCATGACTATTTTATTTTAGCATTATACATATTTTTATCCAATATCTTTTTTGTATTATAATTTTAACTGGCGTACTGTTCATTGATTTTAGCATTATCCATAAAGCCATTTATTCATTGCGCCTATGTATACAGTCATGTAAATTGTCGTGCACCTTTTTTTACTTGGTGTGTGTACTCAGCACGGGATACAATTCTGTGGGAAAATGAGATCTTAATTATTAAAATCCGGCAAATGTATACGTTATCTCTGAGTAGTAATCTATATCTGTCTCTTATACACATCTAGATGTGTATAAGAGACAGGTCCAGAGGTCCCCGACGGGGTCCTTCCCCCTCCCTTGGACCCCGCTAGCGCCTCCCCTGGTGCTATGGATATGTCGATAAATGCAATTTGCATGTGTTCCAGTGTGAATTTGATGCTAGGGTGGTTGTTGGCGTGCGTTTAAAATTATTTGAGAGCTTCAAGTCCATGCTTCCAAATGAAAAACATGTCATAATATACCTGGAGTAAATGCCAGTTTTAAGTTATGGTTGGATATGATCTTTTGTTCCAAATCTGCCATGAAGATGTTAGCATAGCTGGGTGCCATCTTAGGTCCCATAGCTGTTCTTTTAGTTTGTATGAAGCGCTGAATGTGAAGTGTGAAGTGAAGTTATGTGAAATAAAGTTGATGATAGAGCAAATATCCATTGTGTTCTGCGTTGAGTTGTGCGTCGAGAAATTGAGCACAGGCGGCTATACCGTTCTCATGAGGTATGTTAGTATATAATGACGCTGTTTTTGTGTAGGAAGTGTGTCGAATCCTGTATGTGACTGGGAATAGGCATATTAATAAGTAGTGGGTTGAGGATGGTATCCACAAAACCTGATAGGTGTTCGGTCAAAATTCATAATTTCAATACCTGATATGATCGGAATAGTATATCGGTAAGTATCGGTAAACAGCAAAAGACGCTATGTTTGGGTATCTGTGGGATCATGCGTGTAATTTGTAGTTTTATTTCGTCATTGTATAGCAATCAGAAGAATTGCTTCCTTTTTGAAAGAATCCGTGAAACATATATATCTAATACTATTCAGAGAAACTAATTAATGTATACATGTGCTGAAATTACACTGTCTTGCTGAAGATCGTAACAAATGGCGAGATTTGGTTAAAACGCGCAATGTCGAAAGACGAAAAATATAGGCCTAGATATAGGCCTGTGTATATGTCACATGTGCAGTGTCAACAGACTAGAATCGCCTCATTGCATACTTTGCTAAACTAATTAATAGAAAGTAATATAAATTAAAGGTTTGGGGATATATGCTATAGGTATATAGTATTTTTTTTTCCCTCTGTCTGTTATCGGTAGGAGTACTAAACTATATAGGCCTACATTTATTTATTTTTTTATAAGAAATGATAATTAGGATATAAAAAAAATTGCTATATTTACATTAGACAAATAATATCCACAAAATGTATCTCATAAATTACAAATTTAAATTAAAAATTAAATAAATATAATTATAAAAACACAAATATATCATAAGTGGAGCAGCCGTTAAAAAGATATGTAAATATAATAATTGAAATACCAATGATAAGAAAAAGTAGATATTAAGAGAAAAGTACAGTGGAAATCAAATGTCATTCATTACTTTAGCCTGTTTTGTTATTCATAGATCTGTTAATAATTTTGCATTACAGGTGCAGGCCAGGCAGAGCCCCTAGGGGAGCCAGTCCGGTAAGAAAGAGGAGCTTGAAGGTGCGAACTGAGTGAGAGTCTCGGGAAGAGCACATGTATGAGTGCAAGGGGTGAATCCCCTTACACCTCTAAGAATTTCATTAATTTGAGTTTGTATTTGATTGACTTTTACTACTTAGCATAGTAATTTTCTGATAAGTTTTACACAAAAAAATTACAAAAAACAGAAGGGGAGTACGCCCATTGTGCCCCCTCTAAATCCGCCACTGGACCCGATGATGTAACAACAAAGCTGTCACTATAACGATCGAGTCAAGAACTAATAACTGCAATAAAAATGTATTAATCAATTACAGATAGATATACATTGCATAATGTCAGTTATGAATAGTATTTTGTCAATAAAGTTAAGCAATGGTTTATTATCAAATAGTATTCTATGACTATTTTATATTAGCATTGTACATATTTTCAAATAACTTCTTGTATTATTATAATTTGACTGGCTTATTGTTCATAATTATCGGGTCAAGAACCAAAAAAAAATATACTAATCAAATAGATTAAAATCAATTACTGTTTATTGCTTAATGGCAGTTGTGAAAAGTATTTGGTAAATATAGTTTAGTCATAGCTTAATATCAAATAGTATTCCATGACTATTTTATTTTAGCATTATACATATTTTTATCCAATATCTTTTTTGTATTATAATTTTAACTGGCGTACTGTTCATTGATTTTAGCATGATCCATAAAGCCATTTATTCATTGCGCCTATGTATACAGTCATGTAAATTGTCCATAAAGCCATTTATTCATTGCGCCTATGTATACAGTCATGTAAATTGTCGTGCACCTTTTTTTACTTGGTGTGTGTACTCAGCACGGGATACAATTCTGTGGGAAAATGAGATCTTAATTATTAAAATCTGGCAAATGTATACGTTATCTCTGAGTAGTAA